TTTCCCTAAGAAGTGATCTGCACACACTTTCCTGCAAGATAAAATGTATTTGTGCACCCAAATCCCACCAGTTTATTGAATCTTGGTCTTCTTTGCTGTTTATAAAGAATCAGCCACCCACACAGAGTGGCTGTGGCATGAGGGCATTTTTTGTTGTTTAAATTCAAGTACCTGTGCTTTGTGTCAGAACACTAAGTGACTAGACAGTTATCATGCAGTGTTGTTACAGTCTAACTGAGGCACTGAGGCAGCTACTGTCTGCAGTTGTGACTGTGTGTGGTGACTGTGCTGTCACTTCACCAGTGTAAACCATTTTAACACATTCAAAGCAGGGTTGTGAAGTGCATCCTGTGATGCCCACACACAGGTTTAAACGATCTAGTAGCCTTGACCTGAGATGCCCAAACTCTCTAGTTTCCAGTCGTTGCTCTGCAGCTCATACACAATCAGGCAGAATAAGGTGTCACTCACCTTTATCACCTGGATCTTTTCCATGTTCCGTGTGGCAGCCTCCCGTGTGTGAACCAGAACTGTGAAGGTACAGCCTGCAGGAGAAATGGTGGCTGCAGACCAGGGGACAGCCACCTGAGGATGGGACACTGCCTGTTGTCCCAAGTTGTGCCACGGCTTGAGGCTGTGGGGACACCTTACCTGGGGGGTTGTTGTCAAGCACAGCATCACACACGCTGATCTTCAGGATGAAGGCACGGAGCAGCTGCTCCACATGGGACAGCAGGGACTCAGAACTGTTGAGGAGACAGGGGTTGGTTTTGGCATGCTGGGGCATACTGGGGGCCTGGAACTGCTTCCAGAACCTCTACAGGGGCAGGTGTTGGATGCCAGGGGCCAGCAGTAATAGAAACCTTACCTTATGGAAAGAAGAGGCGGCTGGGTGATCTCAAAGACGAATCTCTCCACAGGGTGGTGCTCTTTATCTAGGATTACAACTACGACTTTCTCCACATCGTTCTGCAACAGAGACAGAAAAATCCCTCCCTTAAAACAAGCTGTCTTCTGCCCCCAGTGTGCTTCACACACGTCTGATGAAGTGGGAGTGTGCTTCTGTGTTGTGGCTCACAGCACTGGCAGCGATGCAAAGCTTGAGCACTGCCAGATCATTCTTACTGATCAGAAAAATGCTTTTGCAGAGACATTTGTTGCTGGGTGTTAAACTGACAGTTCATGGCTCAGGCTGAGGGAGAAGAAGTGCACTGAGCAGCACCTTTCTCTGGATACTGTTTTGGAGCCAAGGGGGGAAGGCACAGCCATCTCGTTGCTTCACTCAGGAATGCACAATGATGAGGGGGTTCGGATATGCTCAGCCTGTTGGCAAAAGAGCAGCTTTGTGCTACTGCAATGTAAAACTGACCTGCTTCCATTCCCTAAATGTGCTTTAGGTTTGTTTGTAAAGAGCAGAGAATTCAAAACCTGCCAGCAGCCTGAAACATTTCATGTGGTCACACCTTCTTCTTACAAAGCCTAGAATTCAAACCTACCTCTGCTTGCTGGATCACAGTAAAGCACTCAAGACTATTCTGCCAGATTAGGTGCTTAAATGTATTCCAGACCAGAATGTTAACATGTAAGTAAGTGAAAATATATAGATGTATCGCCCCTGTTCATGTATCAATTGGCAACTAAATGCCAGTGATCAGCTGGCAAGGCCTTAACTGCAAGGAAAGGTTATGGATGCAGTTTTAATTTTTGTTAATAACTTTATCAGCTGGGGAATTGTATCTGGTGAATTTGTAAGGAGATTTTGTAACAAAGACAGTGTTTGTTCTCTTTCTATCAACCACCTCCAGTCCCTGATCTGATCTCACCTTCTCCAGCAGTGGCTTCACACAGTGCAGGGTGTCCTGGATGTACTGGTTCAGCTCTGGGTGGCAGGACATCTGCAGCAACAGAGGGAACAGTCAGAGGGTGTTCTGGTGTCAACCAGCAACACTGCAGGGACAGATGTCAACAGAAGCACCCTGTGTGACAAGGCACTTGAGTCGTGCTTCAAAGAGCATTTTTCACCCCTAAATTGTCAATTCAAACGAGTAATTCTTTCATAGAAGGGTTAATTAGCTGAGGCTGATCACTACCCAACACAGCTGTAGTATATTGGGAATATAGACCCACAATAGCATATTGGGAATAGTATATTCCAACCATTTCTACTTCCCAGGAAGCATGCTTTCATGTTACCTTACTGCACATGGCCGGGGAAGCCTTCTACTACTGTTGTCCATGATCTGCTTGTTCCATGGGCACTGCTGTGTCCTCAGCTACAGGCCTGTTTTCCCTTTTGGCAGGAACTAAGTTCTCTTCAAAAATGAGTTTGCACATTAAAACAAACTCTGGAAATTACTTAGTTTGTTCTGCTGAGTGTTGACTGATCCCTGCTATTTTGCTTGTCCATGTGGCTGTCAGCTTCCAGGAAAATCTCCTACCTGGACAGGTACATTGTATTTTTTCCTCTTCTGAAAGATCCCAATAGGGTAAACTTCTCTGACATACAAGATAAGGTGAACAGCCACTTCCAGAAATTCTGAAAGAACATCTGCAACAACTGAAAAGCAAAAGTAAAGGATGCTGAAGGAGGGAGGGGAGAAGCATGCAGAGCAAGACCAGCTACTCGTA